CCAATGAAATTGCAATTATCTTTGGAGTCTTTTCCAACAACGATAACTTTTTTTTTAACGCAAGTATTTGGCCTTAACCAATTAGCTGTATACCTACTTCTCTGTCTGCTAGTCATTTTTTGTGATTTTTTTTTAAAAGAGGAGAAAGCAAACAAATATATATATTTTTGAATCATCAAGCAATGCCAAACTCTTTGAGATATGCATGTTAGCAAATCCAAACAATGTAAACATAGCATACAGAAACATGATTTGTCAATATATAATATATCTCAGACTACTGATAAACCAGAAATCTTCTGGTAGCATATTCATATTCATATTTTTGCTTATGTTTTCACTTGAAATACAACACATCCTTCACACTTGATCTTCTGTGTATGAACAGTTTGGATCAGGTGCTTCAGAAGCTCAGCCTTACCGAGAATGATCGATGAAAATGTTTCCACGTGAACCGACGCACACGTCCATCCCTCCTCTATGCAATGCATGCACACACGCACACCTCCACACACACAAAGCTTGATTTTGAAGGGTCCTTAATCACAACCGAGAAACTGACTGATCAATGACAGATACGAGGGGCTACTGTGCAAATGCTAACAGGAGCTCATTTGCTTTTAAAAATGTATTTATTCTGGTCTATTTTTATCACAGATTATATTTCTTTCGTGTGCTAACGGGCTCCGAGCCCCGCCAAGGTATTAATTAAAATCTAAATACTAAATACTAAATATTGATTGATACGTTATCAGGGCATAGCAGTTGGTCCGCAGGCTATTGATCCAGCCTGTGATTTATTATCATATTTAAGAAAAATCATTTTGCGTGATTACACGAGGTAATGGATTTTTAGCAAGGATGTAATTCTCCCCCCCTTTTATTTTCGTATCGCGTTTGTTATGTGGAAGGTGGCGCAGACTTCTCAGTTGCATTCGGAGATCGCTGATATCCTAGGTACTGCACCCCCATCCCCCTCTCCCGAGCTTCCCTTTCAGCCCAGCCTGGCCTGCGAGAGACTAAAGCTTGTGTAAGAGAACGATCCCCCCGCTCTTGTCATTGGGAATAATGGGTATTGGGATTACCTCTTTAATCACAACAAAGATTAACAGATGGTATGAGAACAGTTATTAGCAAACATCTTGCACTCATCAAATCAATAAGATGATTTGTAATCAGGCTGTCGGTGCGAGTGAAAAGGGAGCCGGGGCCGTTCCCAGTGAAAGTTCCTGGCAATCAGAGGCTACTGTGTAGCAATTACCTCTCCACAAAATAGGTGCTCTTCCTCCTCTGGCTGGCAGTCCTCCAAAACACACGCCAGACTGATAGCAACATAGGGCATTAACACGGCAAAACACAAAACACTGCATGGGTAACCTTGTATTTGATCAGGTGTTAGGTTGCTGCGCGATTTCATTTCACTTTGTGCCTTTTAATTTGGTGGATCTCGCCTTGTACTTGAAGAGGGAGAAAAAAAATCTAAATGTTTACACATGCTGTCTGTCACTACAAAAGACCGTATAGCTCATTAGCGGGTTGCCATAAATAAGTCAGCGTTGGGGACAAATAAGTGAATACTATAGAAACTATACAGAGAAGGGTTCCCTGTGCAAATATTTCTCCCTGGAGACAGAAAGAGAAAGACTGAGGGTTTGTTGACATAACGGTGCATCCAGAATGGTAAACTGAGGAATCTTCCCCACAAGATGCAACTCCTTTACAGCAGTAATGTTCTAACAGCACTTTGCTTTTTTTTTATGTCTCTGGGACGTGCGGGTGTTGAAGTCTGATATCACTGAGACAAACGCTGCGTCATATTTACTTCCAATTTATTCTACTTCTTAAGTTGAAAACAGTCTGTGAAACACATTCGTGCACAAATGCGCATCTATTTAGATACCAGTACTTAAAAGGAAAAAGTCAGGAATTGTTGGTTTTTTTTGCAAAAAGTGGCAACACGGGATCTCTTCAGCTTTACTTGGATGGATATCGTTTTGATTCTAAATGCTGCTTTTAATGCTTGCAGGCTGTTTGCAAGCAATGTCACCTTGTATGCATTTTTGTAGTGGGAACAGCTGAAACAAACTGATGCAACACTGTGGACTGAATGAAGGCAGTCACTTTGGGAGTAAAATACAGAAACACACTTGTGAGAATGTCGAAAATCAGAGGCACAGTGTAAAAATGAGTGCGTTTAAGTTTTATCTCTCTCCACAAATTTGTAAAGATATTGACACACACACACACAAACTTCTAATCGCAAACTACTCATAATGACACAAAATCTCTCAGCGTCCCACACCGACACACACACACACACTCACAGACACATACCTCTGCACTGTAAGATAGCACAGATATGTGACAGGATTAAGCAAGGCAAATGGTGCCAAAACAATGGCAGTATGAAGTAACTGATGCTGTTTAAAAATTTAGATGCCTGTATTGAACAGACAATGTGGCACACACATCACTGGACCACAGATCCCTGCAGCCCAATGGTCTGGTTTCTGGCTGCTCACATGCATATGGATAATCTCTTTCTAAACAACCCCACAGTCGCATCACGACTGCTACACCGCTGCGCAGACACACTCGGTAGAAAAGCTCACGCTGCACTTGTAAACCTGAAATGGCTTTCAAGTTCAGTGGAAATCATTTTGCCACTATGATATGCGATAAAGCACAGGGAAGCATATTTGTATACTTAAATAGAAACTTACAATTGCACAGTAACTGCAGACAGACACACAGCCCCTCCCCTCGCCCACAGTCACTTGTCGAGTGGCTAATATCTTTCCAAGGTCAAACCTGACAAGGAATTCCAATGAGATTAAGTGTCATCAGTGCGGCTTTAGCCCTTTTCTGCTCATCGTTCTTGGAAATGGCATTAGAGCCACAGATGACCAAGGCCTTGGAGCAGTAAAACCTCTTCCCTTCCTGAGTGGTGGGCCTGGTTGATACAGGAGATATTTGACACAAGGCCTCCAATTCAAACATCAAAGTGCAATAATGTTCTCACGTGTATCTTTATCGAGGAAGCTTACACCAATATAAACCAATCTACGAGCACTGCAGTTTTATCACACGTCGACAGTGTTATTATTTCTGCATGCTGCAGAATTTTATTCAACTTTTTCTCATGTTAATTCTTAATTTTGAATTTTCAAAAGATCCATAGGTTACAGACTCTGAGTCTGTGACTCCTTTTTATTTCAGACCTTGTAAGAGCTGCAGTGGCAAGCCAGCGTCAGTGTTTTTGGCATTCATTTAGGTGTTTTGGGGGCTATAAAGCAATAACAGAAATGTTGCTGCACTCTATATGCAGCAAATGTGCTTTCACACTTAATTTGTTCTGATGACTTGCATGCATATCTCCACACTTTTTCATTCACATGAGGAAGTGGCTCAGTCCAGGAGATAATCCCAGCGTGTTTGTTTGTACACACTTCGAGCAAAGCGACAGCTTATGCCAGTGTGTCAAACAGCATTTTCACATCAAATTTGACACATAGTCCTTTGGCGGCAGCAATGAGCATTTTGTCATCTCCTCTCAAGTGCCAACTCGACGTCCAATTGCGGCCCAGCTACTAATTTAATTACAGTAGCAGAAGAAATGGGCTGATTCAATTCATTTCAATTAAACCTGATGGGACCAGTCAAATCAAATTTTACTCATCTCAGGTACAAGCTGCCTGTCACATTTTATCTCAGCTTGGCTCAAATGAAGCACGATGAGCAGGTCCTGATGATAACTGGAAATATATGGTTGGGTTCTATCAAGCAGACTCATGTGCCGCCTGATCTCTGATTGTGCGATCAGTGTGAGAGCACAACACTCAATTTTCAGAGCAGGATCACAGACAGTTACCACTTAGTTAGAGTCCCAGCTACAACAGCCATTACTTATGCATGATGTCCACAATTATGTATCAAATCGTGTGCAAGTATGTGTGCGTTTAGATATCCAACTAAAAGATGTGTAGCACATAGCAAAAACTATGCAGTGTCTGCTAAAGCTGCACATGAAGTGACTTTCTCTGAACCCCCCCTCAACAAAACTTAATTAAAAAAGAACATACAAACAGTTCTGCATGCCGCAATAAACTTTAGAACACAACTTGTGCTCCTATTTTTTTCATTTTAAAATAATTAAATTTTAAATGCAAATTTAGAAGTATTAAGACATACAGTAGTATAAGGATAAAGGCTGGTGGGGGATAACAATGTGTTTACTTTATACATTTACAAGTATATATGCAGAAATTAGCTCTAGGACACAAGATTATTAAAACCTCTATAGTGACCATGCTCCAATAATTACAATCATCATAATGATTCTGTATATGTGTAGTATTATTATACTTCAAATACGCTAAATTCTACTATTAATAATGCATTTGCCAAAACGTAATAATTGTATTTATTAGCTCTAAGACTGGGAAAAAAATCATTGCTAAATTGTAAATTATTCGTGGACTAATTACAAGGAATAAAGTACAAGTTTAGCAACAGACAGAATGTAAGTATAGATTGCTTCAAAAGCGTACGCAGACAATGAAACAACATAAATATTGTTTGGGTTTGCCTTCAGAGACGCTGTAATTGGGCTCATTCAGTGGCAGAAAAAGTTCCATCTCATCTCTGATTGGTGCAGATGAAGCCCTGGGATTATGCCATAGGCTGCTATAGGCTGCTACAGTAGCCTGCGGTGTGTGTAAATGCGTCTTGGCACCAGTTGCGGCGGCGCAAAGACGTCTGATTGGACACCGACGCAACGCACGCATATTTTTTTTTTTCATACTGCGCCACTTTAGCGGTCTAATCACATGCTTTACAACCTGAGCCACACATATAAAAATTCAATTTCTTAGATCCTTCTATTTAAAGATATGTAACGGATAACTGTAAAGCTATTATTATACAGTGATGCACAGCGGCCAAAGCGAAGCAGTAAATTCAAACTCTGGGAGTCTTTTTTTTTTTTTTTTTTTTTTTACCTCTCTGGTGTCTTCTTCACGCTCCGGCCTCCCTCTACGATATCCGCAGTGAAAGGCAGACAGGCTCACAGCGGACTGCGGGGTGTAAGAATAGAGGAGAGGAGTTGTTACCGAAGTCTGCCTGTGCACTTTGTGATGCAGCGAGGGCCAGCGTGGAAGCCCAAGCAGCCCTTTTCTCACCTTGCGACACAGATCCAGAGGGGGTGAAACGGGTAAAAACGGTTGTTTGGGTGATTACACGTTTCTGCTCTCCCTCCTCTCCCACCCTCCTCCGCCACCATGCCCCCCTCCTCCTCCCCCTCCTCCTCTTCCACCAGCAGCACCAGCAGCACTCTCACTCCTCTCTCGGAGAATAGAGAGAGTGGCCCCCGTTGTAATAGCCTCGGTGGGGCTCCAGCTCTGCAGCGAAGCAGCCTCTAAGGTTAAAGGATACCTCTGAGGCGCATCCGGCATCCGCAGTGCCATGAAACAAAAAAGTGCTTTTTAAAAAAAAAACGTATTTATGTATTTATTTGCTCGTCCAACGCAGTAAATTGGAGAACAGTAATATTTGACTTGGTAATTTATTTATTTTTGAAGTCAGATCAAACTATATAAAATCACAGGGGCTCTTAGGGTTACGTAAAGCTTAGTGGAAATCAAACTTTTCAAGCGACGTGAATTCCAAAGCTGTTCGGCAGCCCGGTCTGGACACCCCCTCTCTTTCCCTCTCTCTCTATAAGTGTGTGCGGTGTGTGTATGTGTAGTCTATACCGGATTAAATGGCACCGCGTCTTAAATGGCACCTTGCCTCGTTTCCCCTCTCCTTTCATCATCAGCAAAATAAAGATTAGGTCTACAGAGGAGATTGTAACGGCTCGCCTTTAGACGCGCGGGGGATCTTCATTCCTCCGCCTTTGTGATGATATTGATGATGATGATGATGGCCAAGTGGACAGTTTGATTTTTGTGTGGCGAGCTAGTTATAAAGAATCAATATTATATCAAGGGGGTAACTTTGGTGATAAAGGACTTCAACCACTCTGGCTATTCATCATAAGTCTGTAGCAAGCAGATAGGTCAAAAGAAATTATATTGCTCTAAAGAGTGTGTCTCCTTATCTCTCAGTACCAGGGGAGTGGAGGACACGCCGATCGATACAGTAGCTGCCGTATACTCCTTGCAATTATCAATAGCTGATTTTGTCTTCCTGGGGCTGCATCTATTAATACCAGATAATAACAGCCTTTTGGACATAACTTCAAAGGGGATGATGGAAAGAGATGGAGAGGAAGAAGAAAAAGGGGGGCACCGAAAGTTTGCTCACAGGACGACCTTGTTGTCAACAGATTTGTCTCTCATATGAGGTGGACGCGGGGGAATAGACAAGTCAAACAGACAAGAGGGAGGGCGAGGGAGGGGGGAGAGCGGGGAAGCTCTAACTGAGCTCACCCATGAACTGAAAAAAGCTGAAGATCTATCATTACAGTAAAAAGGTTTCTAATTTAGTCAGGAATTGGCAGCATTTGTGCGCCTGAAGTCGGAAACAAGCGCGATTATGATGTGCCCATTTTCCACATCCACTTTTAACGATGCAATATGAAAATGCATTTTCCTTAAGTTAGCAATACGGAAATAAACATGAAACCGTTACTTCTGTTAAATAAATAAAACGCAGTGTTCGCATGGCACTCAAGCACGAGCTTATTTGGTTCCTTTCTCCCCACCGTGCATGCGTACATTTTAGTGCAAAATTATAATTAATTTCTGTATTTATTTTAACTGTGTGTTGAGGGAAAGAGGTTTTAATTATATGCTGTATGATGTGTACTCTGACACACTTTACTTATTCATATTATTATTATTATTATTGTGTTGTTTTGCAATAATTCCCCAATATTAGTGTCGGTACATAAATCAAAAAGCAGCCCACATGTTCAAAAACCGCCACCGTGCGTAAAATGTCCACATTCCAGAATCAAAGTTAGAATAAAGCCGGGGTGTTGTGATTGAAAGCCTACCGTGTAATCAGAAAATCGCCGATGTCACGAAATAAAAATACTCTGCCGCATTAATATGATGACCCAGCCTTCTGGCGGATACGGGCGGTGACGGGTGAGATATTATATGATGGGAGGTCAAATCTGGGTGTTCACACAGAAGTCTGAGGACGATCCATTGAACAGTAACGTGGTGGTACATCCTAGTGGTGGCTGAAAGCAATGGGCTGAACCCCTGCTTGGGGGTTGACTCTCACACACAGCGCAGTCCCCCACACACAGAGCCATGCCCAACAGCGACAGACCGACCGACGCTGCTAGAGGGCTGCCAGAAGATAACTTCAAAGTTGGTTTCGATATGAGCCCGAGAGCCGAGCGAAGGAAAGACATCGAGTAAAGCTTTAGTTTTTTTTCTTTTTGTTTGTTTGTTTTGGTTTGGATTTTTTCGGAAATCAAGTGGTGCTTAGGGCTTTTTTGATCAGCAAATATCCAGAAAAGACGCTTTTGGAGAGCGCACCGAGCCGAGGGCGCATACACGGCGAGAGGAGGTACACGGGAGGAACTTCGTCGCGGTCAGACACGCACCGAAGCGACTTCTCTTTGTCGGACACACGAGTGTTTGATCACACAGACGTTCTTGTTGTTACTGAGAGGAGCACTGTTGCTAATCTTGGCGCCGCTCTCTCGGAAGACGCGCGTCAAAGTTTGGAGAGCGGAGCTGCGCCTTTAGAAAAGCAAAAGCTGGTGGCAGTTTATCGCTCTATTGCAAAGAACTTAACTCGTCCCGTCCACTTCTCCTTGCTGCCGGTGCCCGTGTAGCAACTCAAACAGCGGCTGCTTCACTGGGAAGATGTCCACCGACAGAAATCTGACACATCTCGACTTTAGACGTCGCTTCCTTTGAGTCCGATTCAAGGAGTTGCGTGTTCACCTCGCCACACGCACAGAACAAGAAAAATAAATAAATAAAAGAAGTTAGAGAGAGAGGCGCTGCGAGAACTGAGCCAGTATCTCGGGACAGACTTAACGAGAAAACGTTTTCTGAAGTTTTGCGGTAAACGATGGATCGTTGAGGCCAGGGAGAGACACTTCGTCAAAGAAAAGAAAGAAAAAAGAAGAAAGCGCTGGTGAATCCTTAGCACTTGTGAGTCAGTGCGCTTACTCAAAGGAGTAGGGGGCAAAGGAGCCCGGCGTTCCCCTCGTTGGAGACCCCATGTGAACTGGGTATAACAAGAGATTTTGGTGTGTTGTGTTGTTTTGTGTTGTTGGGGAGGTGGAGGTTGGATAGTAAAGACAAAAGAGACGGATAAAGTCTGAGAGTGAAGCGGCTAATTGCTTAGTCCGTCCCTCATTACCATATCCAATGCGCGTCCATTGGCCTCCAGCCAATCCTCCCCACCTTCACACACTGCCATTAATCGCGAGGCATTATTCACTATCATAATTATTATACCGACATGCGCAATCCAACGCACAGCAACAGCACCGGCAGCAGCAACACCGGCTAATTTCAGATTTATATTTTTTCTCTCCTCCTCTCTCTCTCCGCCACCAGACTGTTTGCGAACTTTTTGTGTGTTGATTCGCTCTTCGCTGATGTATCTGCAAAACGCAGACACATCTCGGAGCGCAAACGCAGCAGCATCGCCACCACTAAAGCCAGCAGCATGTCCCGACGCAAGCAAGCCAAACCGCAGCACCTCAAGTCGGACGAGGATCCCGCACTAGCCGGGGTGATTTCCGAGCACGGTGAGTGGATTTGATCAGCTGAAGTTCCTTTAGCCTGATCTGCTTTCAGAGCTTCCCCTCGCAGCTCTGCTCTTCAATTTACGTTTGTTTCTTTACTTTGTTTGACAAACGTTTTAACACATTCATTTGGATTATTATCATCATTATTATTATTATTTTGTTTTTTTGTAGTGGGGATACTGGATTTATTTCATAGGCATAGGCGGAATCATTTGCAATAAATCAAAAAACGATGCGAATATTAAGTCAAAAGTGTCACCTTAGTCGAAGAAGAAGTCTGACGATTTAGAAGTTTTGTGTCTGTTTTGTCCCCCCTCCCTCCCTCCCCCAAAAAACTGTTAAACCTGCATCATATGATCGTCTTTTGTCAGGCAGGTTAATTTTAATAATAGTTAAGAGTTTACATTTTGGTTACAGCGTCTACATTAGGTGCCGGAGGCCCATTTTAAAGGCCTGTCTAAAAAACAAAAATCTCGGAGCTCTGTACACTGCAAAATAGTGTATTTCAACACTTTTGCAGTTGGTTTCGGACGTGCACGCGCACGCGCCGAAATGCAAGCACAACTGTAACAAACACACGAAAGAAGTTGGAAAATTATTTGGCTTTTTTTTCTCCCAGAGGTTTAGAATTATTTATTCCGCAGATGTGAAAGCAATGGGTCGTAATAGTTTTTTTTTTAAAAAAACACTTCATTTAAAAAGCCGTTTAATTTATACGTTTCTATTTTTTATTTTTTATCTTGTTTTTTTTTTTTTTTTTTTTTATTTTTTTTTTTTTTTTTGCATGTGTGTCTCTTGTCCCTGAGCGCCTGCGGAATCTGTTGCAGGTCGAAGACTTGTTTTGTTATGGAAATGCTTTTTGTTTACCCCCACCTCCCCACCCCACATAAATTTAGCACACTTGATTTGTTCCTTTTTGCGCACAGTATCGACAAGATCGGTTGACAAAGCTCGTCTTCGCCATGTGGGGGGAAAAAGGATTATTTGTCCTTTATACTGCGCTTTTGCGCAGCAACACTATCATTATAGGGCTAAAGTCAGGTCCGAAGGCAGATGAAGTGCTGCAGGAATAATATGACTGGATTTCTATAAAACAAAAAAACGTACAGAGCACAAGTCCCACATTATTTGGCAGATTATTATTGAAATTGTGGCAAATCTAACATTTAAAAAAATCATTTTATGTATTGGAAATATGAGGATAAGACAAAATATGTCAATTTACTGCAGCATATCTTAACAACAATACTGTAATTTACTTTAAAACTTAAAAAAAAATCACAATTTGTCAATTTCATTTCTCTTATTTAAACTTAGAAAGCTGTGTGTGTGCGTGTTTATGTTTGTGTGTGTTTTGGGTATCAGTGAAGCTCAGAGCTCTCAACAAATCACTGCTATTATTTATACCTTTCTATCTTGGCCCATGTTGGTCAACACTCACACCCAGACGCAGACACCCACACATGCACACACACACTTACACGCGAACACGCACACACACATTTTCCAGGGTTTCTTTAGAATAGAAATGTGTGATGTAATCTCTGGGGAGAAGCTCTCTTTGCATGGGGAAATGCTGGTGTGAGGGGTGGGTGGGTGGGGGATCACACTGATGATTCCCGACTCTTTTGTTCAGTTTACTCTTTGGATCTCTCCTTTTTTTTAAATATAATTTCTGACTAATTGACAAACACAGACACTTTTCCTGATTCGGTGTTTCAGATGACCCTGCTCAGATTCTGTACAGAGATAATCATCCATCAGGTTGCACTCCTGTAGGATTGTGGATTGAAAATCAAACTTGTTTTTGCTCCTGTCAAATCTCACGTTTGGATGATTTCGAGTTTAGGTTACAAATATTTGATTTGAAATGTTGATTGCAATTTATAAAACAGAAAACAGTCAGATCCACAGAGAGAGGGAAAAAAGAAGAGAGGAATTTAAAAAGAAAAAAATCTCTACACACTTATTCTGAATTTTATTCCACAGATTAACACACACCTCCTGGCATAATTAAAATACACACAGACTCAGACAGCGTTATCGGTAACATACTGTATGCTGTCAGTGCCATTGTGCTCGAGACTGGAAGTGTCCGTGGAATGTTCTTTCCTTGCTGAAGCAACTATACTGGCTCGCTTGTTTTCAGGAAAGACGTAGCAGTGAAACAATCTCAAGCCTTTGGCAGAGCACAGTGAGCCCATACATACTTAAATAAACCTAATAATACCATGCCTCAACCAACACTACCTTACATGATGAGCTACGAATGTCACCCTGTCAGTGTGTCGTTGCAGCATGATCGGATTCTCCGCTCTCTGTTGCTGTGTGGTGCAGCTTGCGACGAACACTATCGATTGTTGGCCTTGACATAACCACCGCGTATTAACGTCGATGGGATTCAAAAGTTCCAGTCGTCAGCCGCTGCTCGACTGAGACTTAAAATCCATTTTTGCTCAGTTTAGTGCTGAAGAGAACGTCAAGAAGAATGTGGTGTTCAAATTGTGCTCAGGGATCTTCACCATTTCTTACAAATAAGAAAACAAGGAAAGAATCAGCCAAATCGAACCCTGTGCCTGCAAAGCTTCAGCTTACACCTTCATTTTCCCTAAATATTCCCAATATTATTTTGTCTCCTTTGTATGTGGCATTTATGACTGCTGTCCCTCTGCAGCTTATTGAGTACTCTTTAATGTGCCGCATCCATGAAAACATGAAAAACTAAAATCAAGTGCCAACAAGCCCTTGTCTGGCATATCATGTCCCCTCAGGCTTTCCGGACACTTTCCTCCTGGGGGCATGGGAGGGTTTTTGTGTGTGTGCGTGAGTGTGTGTGTGTTTGTGTGTGTGTGTGTGCTAGGATGGGGAAAGGGAAGAGGAGGGGGTGGTCTGCTTGGAAGTGCTTTTATAAAGCTTGCTGTCTTAACCTTTGTGTAGCCCCGGGCAGCCAGATCCTGCCGCTAGATGTCAAGCTCCTTGTACAATTAGAACATGTGTGCCGTTGACCTTGGCAGCGCAGTTTCCTCGTGTCCTAGAAAGCGTTAGCAGCAGCAGGCTTTTCACCACGCCACCGCTTTCTCGGCATCCAGTGTCGTTCAAGGTGTGAATGTGCAGGGGAGCAATGGTGGCCAAACTCTGCGCTGTCACACGAAGATTTAGAAGAATTTTCAAAGGTAAATTTCCTCAGTTGTCAGTGGACATGCACAGCATCGTTCAAGCAAGAAAGGCAGATTTCTTTTTCTAAAATTATTACTCTGGAAAAACATGAGACACTTGAGGAACAGGTAACAACAAGGCTCAGGTCACAGTCGCAATTGTTTGAAGTCAAAATCTTCTCAGAGTTCATTCTGGGCTGAGCCCTTTTCCTTTCTTTTCGTCATAGCAGCAGAGGCACGGGCGTGTATGGTTATGAATCCAAAAAAATGTAATAAAGTGAGAAAATCCCTGCTGGTAGTGACAACATGGTTGTTACCACTTCCCCTGCAGCGGGGCTTTGTTTGCCTTTTGTTTTAATCCACTCTCACCATTGGGTGCAGGCCTGTGGACCACCCACATAGTTGTGCCAAAGATGTCTTCAAGAAGGCACTCAAATATGGCTGTGTCTTAATTACCACTCAGCACACGAACAAGTGAGATCCTGATTGAGAGGAAGGACTAGACAGGGAAGGGAAGAACTATTTAATGTTAGACAAGACAGCAGATTTGGAGGATTTAGGTAAAAAGCTAACATGTAGTCAGCAGAAGGGGTAAATTTCTCCTTTAAATGGTTTGGTTTCGATGGTTTGGTTTTGGCTTATTCAGATGATTTTAAACACCAGTTTGTCCAGAAAGTGGGGACGCGGAGGAGCAACGTGTGAGCGAAGATGTGCAGCTCTGCCTTCTGTGTAAAACAGGAAACATATAGCTTTGAGTTCAATTTGATTTAAACAAACCCCAAGCAAAGATTAATAAAAAATCTCCTTTGACGTTAGAGAACGAGAGCGCCTCGTCTCGGACTCTTTTTGTAAATCCGGAGGCAGAGAGGCATCTTGGCGAGTGTCATCTGGACAGAGTGTCGTCATTGAATACTGTATTGCAAATGCTTACACAAACAAATCGTTAATGTTTTGGCTGCTCCACATCTGCAGGCCATGACAAAGGCCTCTCTGTTGGGACAGATATGACTGTACCACTCTGCAGTAGGGCTGACCAGGCCGATGACACACACTCACAGCGCTGTGCTGAGGACGACTGAGCCTCTGCAAGTCCGAGGATGCACTGGGTCATTCGTGGATATGCTTCATGGGTACAGCAGGACAGCATAATTATTTAGATTTCCTTTTTTTATTGAATCTTGATTATTATTATTTTTTAAATCATGCAAACATGCAGTTAATCTTAACTTTGCTAGGACGCTTAACCAGTATGCTAAAGAGTCATTCTTTTAAACAAAAATGAACTAACTACAAATGTTCAGAATTTAAGTGACATTTGTCTTCTTCCGGTGCAGATTATGTCCCAGTTAGAACGAAGCAGAGTGCACGCTGTGTCTCAGTTAAAATGTCTCGTCAAACAACTTAAAATAACTTGAAACGTCTTTATTTTTTATTTATTTATTTATTTTTTTGTACTCACGATTAGAGTTGCGGAAGTGTGTCAAAAAGTGTAATGGAAAAATTTAATCAGGCCACAAATTCCAACATTGTTGGATGCAGCAGGCCTCTTTTTTTTTCTTTTTTTCCCCCCTCAACTTCCAGCTTGAGCAGGACCAACAGGGATGCATCTCTCTTTAAGGGTCCTAAGCTATCCTCACATTCTTGAGAAGAATGCATTTTAAGGGGGCAGAAGGAGGGGCCCTTTTTTAGGAAGAGCGCAATCACAGAGGCTGGTCACGATATACTGCTCTCACAGACTGCTGTTGGTGTAAATGACATGTAAGTTCTCGGGGTATGATGAAGACTTTTTAATTGCGCATTTAAATTACAATACCCTGCACTTACTGAGATTGAAATACCTCGACGTAGGGTAAATGCTCCCACTGTCATTGCTGTTTGTTTTCATTATGTGAATCTGGAAATTGTTAAGAATGGGAAAATTTGTAATTGGCCAAGGCTTCGGTGCTTCTCTCAATGCCCGGCTCTGTGACTTTCACAGAATCTGTGGTAAGCATGAATACCTCATCTGATATAATATGTCAGATTAGCAGTTTCAGTTGGCATGCCAGAGATTGCTGAGCAAGATAGCGGACACACAGATTCAATGTCTACAATCCCCCTATTGACTACCTTCAACTTAATATTCGTAAATGAAGACTCTTAAAGCAATGAAAAATGGATGGGATTTTTTTTCCGTCCCCTTCTTTTTCATACTATAGGAAAATCAATATTAGCCCCTTCCCCAACACAAACACATATAAAATCATATAGAAACACACACACGTATGCATGCATCCCTTTCCACTGTGTTGCATTGCAAACCCAAAGCAACCACAAAATGTCGCCTCTTAGCTCCACAGCACAAAAGCACTGTACAGGTTAAAGCAACACAGTTGTTTTAAGATTATGAGCTTTCCTAATGCTCGTTTGTTTGTTTGTTTGTTTGTTTTTTCCTCGGGAAGTATGACAATAATCTGCAATGCACGCAGCTGTAATTTGTGTTTCTATGATTAATGCTGACTAACTGTAGCATTAGTCAAAGTAAACCTGAAAACGGCAATTTCGTGTGTTTTCCTTGTTTTTTAGCGGCGTGCACATTTTTAAAGAGGCAGTGTATTTCATACAACTACACAGCGTTCAGATTTGAATTTTAAAAAAAGCATCGGACATAAGATTTTTTTTATTTTATAATAATAATTAGCGCTCTAAAGTTACTAAAGTTATCAGACAGGAAGGATTTTTTTTAATGGACAAAATGTAATTTATAAGAGTCTTTTCTTTCCTTTTTTGTTTTTGTTTTTTTGAAAATAAGTCAATTTAGGAGCAGAGGCCTGTGTATGTGTAGAGGTGACTGGTACACTCTACTAACGGCAAAAAAGCATGCTTTTGCAGGTCTACGTGTCGTAATTTTTTAGGTGTTTGTCCTCGTACATATGCACATAATCTGTGAATTCTCTTTGTCCGTCTTAGGAAACGTGTCAGTGTGTGTGTGTGTGTGTGTGTGTGTTTGTGTGTGTGCGCGAGAGCGAGAGGTCAGAGGCATACAAAGACCCCCACTTGTAATTGTATGAATGAATAAAAGAGATTGACAGTAATACCATTCTAATAACTAATCAGCTCAACACAATGCCTACTCATTTGTGTTGACCTTTCAACCCTCAATTATGGAAATGAGTTCTGCTGTCCGCTGCTGGGCTAAGGAGCTTTTTAGCCTGCCGTCACGTGTCGCTGACGTTTCCAGTCACTTGCTCCTTTTCACTTGTCAATTTCTGTTTTGTATTTGAGCTTAAATGACTAATTTGTTTTTCAATGGATTTTTTTTTTTAATACCGAGGTCTCAACGTACAATGTATGTCTTGGGATAAAACCATAAGAATTTTACATTTTCTTTTCCTTTAATTCCTTAATTGATTTTCTTTTTAACTGGCAGCACCCACGATTTAGTAAAATAATATCTTACTTTGTCAGCTCTAACCCCAATGAGGATGAGAGCACGGAGTCTGTCCAAAACTGTTCTGCTGATAATTAATTAAGTCACAGACACCAGACCACGATGGCGCATGGCCCCTTTGGCCACAAATTACAGGAGGAATGATGAATTTCTTTCCTAATGAGTCACTGTAATTGGCAAAAATGCTTCATTTCTGCTTTGCTATGGTTTACTCCACTTTAACCTTTGAAGTTAGCACAAGCAATGTATGAATCTCGATTGCTCACTTGAAAAGCATAACGGGTCTTTTAATGATAAGGAAATGTGCACTATATGTTCCAAGGAATTTTCTGATTCTGATTTCTTTTTTTAAAATTTAGTGAACAAGCTGGTTTAGCCCACTGGGTGAGCTGCTTAGAGGAAAAAGGAAAATATACACAAGTGAAAGCAGCTAAATTCAGACATGCAACTTTTATGCTTTGGGATTTTTTTGTCATACACATACAGTAATAATTAACCCGAATTTAACTTTTTTCTTAGTTATTAACTACTTTTAAACAATATAGGATCACTGAAGAACATAACCTTGTTTTATAGCAGCCTTTGCATGAAGTAAATCTTTTTCTATTTCCAGCAATTGCCCATGAAATTGTCTTAACATTTTAAATGTGTATACACAGTGGTTTAATTTGTGGATAAATAGTTTACCAGGTATTCGCTGGTCGTCAAATGTAAACTGAACAGGGGACGACTACGAAATAAAGTACGTGCTAGATGTCTTGTGGTGACTGAGTGTGCTTCCTACTCAGACATTTTTATTTATGCAGACATCCCCGACAGAGAGACCCGCACGCTATAACTAAGGGGGGGGGGGGGGGGGGGGGGGGGGGGGGTTAATAAGAGGAGGCCATTTTTACATGGTTTATATCAGGTGTGAATTTGGTCCACGCTCGGAGCTCGCACGGGTCTGTTTGACTCTTGATGGTTGCATGTCAAAGAGGAAGTGGCTTCCTACAACTGTGATTAAACATGTGTAACTAATCAGTGACTTTGCTGCCATGGCACTAGCATGTAATTTGTTGAGTCTTATGTCAGAGAGCATGGCCAGTGGAGAGAGAGTAACACACTAACTTAAAGGGAATGTTTTCTATTGGGAACATTTTGAAAAAGAATGAAATTGTGAAAACTTTTAAATTATAGTGATTTAAAGCGCACATTTTAAAAGGTCAAGATTTATGGGTTTTTTCTATTTGTAGATAGTGTACAAAAAAAAGTTGAAAGTCAACAGATATCATTACTTACATATGATAATGCATTTTTGTGACAATGTGGCAAAAGTTCAGTATAGTTATTTGCTTAGATTCAGGGCTCTAGCATTACCTTTGCGATGCTAAATGGAAAGCCAGGCATTTGAAATTCAAGTGGAAATGACTGAGCTTGATAGCAGAGGGGAATCCTAATAGGGCCATCAAAGGTCCTGATTTGTACCCAACAGATGAGGCAGCTGTGAATTGTATGAAATATTGGAAATCAATATGTTCTATGGAATTTCATTAAGTGGCAGTATCCACAACTGATAGGCCCTCATAATTTGATGGATTGCACAAAGAAAATTATTACCTGGCCCTATGGAGAGTGTGTGAATGCACAAATCTGGGTCTTGAGAATTGGTGAACTAGGGCAATTTGTTCAGAGTGAAAAAAAAGAATATTGATTTTGGTTATGTTAAAAGAGAGAAAAAAAATCAAAGGTTAAATCTTTGCAGCACTGCACTGGAAAATATGTGTGGATTCTTTATTGATTATTTATTCATTAATTCTTCTTTCTTCCCTCCCTCCTCCCTTTGGTTTCTTTTTGTCCCTTTTCACTCCTCTGACCCCCCTCCCATTGCTTTTTGTAGCCCGAGGTGATGTGCTGGATGATGCCGACAGCGGGAATGAGAGCCGCAGTGGCAGTGAGGAGACCCATGTATGTGAGAAGTGTTGTGCTGAGTTCTTCAAATGGTCAGACTTCTGTGAACATTTAAAGAGCTGCACTAAGAACCCCCTGGTGCTTATAGTGAATGACAATGAGGACACACCTAACCCCTCACAGGAGTACCCTACAGAGCCCTCCCCTGTACCCAGCTGCCCTAGTGAGCAGGCTGACAGTGAGGACCCCAGGGAGGGGAGCCACAGCCCTGCTGGTGAGGGGGATGACATCCCAGAGACAGCAACCTTAAATGGGGTCAGTGTCCTGGAAAAGGAGGACGAGCAGATGGAGCTGGAGCTTTCTCCCGAAAAAAATGTGGATCCTGAAGAAAGAGATGTGACATCCCCTGAGCCAGATGGCTCCCTACCTCAGCTCAATGATGTCGTTCCCTCTGCTGTTACCAGTTACGCCATGCCAAGCACCAATGTTACCTTAGAGACTCTTCATGGCACCCGTGTTGCAGTTGCCCAGTTTTCACAGAGTGTAAGGGCAGCAGCGGGCAGTGGGGTTTCCACCATGGCTATTCCCATGATCTTGGACCAGCTGATGGCCCTCCAACAGCAGCAAATTCATCAGCTGCAGCTAATAGAACAAATTCGCAGTCAAGTGGCTCTCATGAACAGACAGTCTGCCCCACAGCCTGCTCTTAACCACCATCACAGCAACGCTACTGGAAGCCAGGGGCCCGTCTCCTCCTGTGTCCCTCCTGTTGCAAGTCAGCTTCAGCTACATAATTTTATCACTCCCCCAGTCCATCAGCTGCCTGTTAGACTGCCGGCCACTCTCAATGGTCAAGGACCTTCACCTCTGACCTCAACAATAGAAGGGCCTCTCTCTCAAACACCACAAAGCAGCAGTCAGCAATCTAACTCTTCAGCTCCGATCACATCCTCAACTAACTCAGCTTTTCCTCCACCAAGTGGTACTGGATTGTCATCTCTACTTCCCCCCTGCTCATCCTCTGTCACAAACAACAGCATTAGCACTAGTAGTAGTATAACAGGAGGCAGTGGCATTAGCAGCAGCTCAACTCTTTCCAGGAACTCTAGCACCCCTCCTTCCCTCACTCACAGCACCCTCCTGAGCTCTTCTTCCAGTCTACCGCTGATACCTCACAGCTCTTCGAGCAGTGTTATCTTCCCTAATCCACTGGCCAGTATAGCAGCCACAGCCAATGCACTCGATCCTCTCTCTGCTCTAATGAAGCACCGCAAGGGGAAGCCCCCAAATGTGTCTGTATTTGACACTAAGCCCAGCTCTGAGGACCCCTTCTTCAAGCATAAGTGTCGGTTCTGTGCCAAGGTGTTTGGCAGTGACAGTGCCCTACAGATCCACCTGCGTTCCCACACTGGAGAAAGGCCCTACAAATGCAACATATGTGGCAACCGCTTCTCCACCAAGGGGAATCTGAAAGTCCACTTCCAGAGGCACAAAGAGAAATACCCACATATACAGATGAACCCCTACCCTGTGCCAGAGTACCTGGACAATGTTCCCACAAGCTCAGGCATCCCATATGGCATGTCATTGCCCCCAGAAAAACCTGTTACCACATGGCTAGACAGTAAGCCAGTTCTTCCCACAGTTCCCACCTCTGTCGGACTCCAGCTGCCTCCAACATTACCGAGTATGATGGGAGGATTTGGTGAGTCTCCAAGCCTCACTCCGCTCAACAGGTCTCCTCAGAGGCCATCCCCACCCTCAAGTGACTGTGCATCTTTGTCCCCAAATATCATCACTGACTCATGCATGACCACTACTTCACCATCCCCAAAACCAAGCCTAGGGTGTGAGGCACCTCCTTTACTGAAACCCGAAGGCATTCTTTTGCCCGCAAGCTGCTCTACTAGACCGGGAGAGAACACGACTAGCACAACGACCATAACTCAAGTGCTTCTTTCCACTACTGTCACCTCCACATCATCGTCCAGCAGTGGACAGGTCTCTGAACCCATCTGTAGCCCCAACTCGGCCTCTAATTCTGTCTCCCATCCTGTCCTTCCCATGCTCTCAGACCATTTTAAGGCCAAGTTTCCCTTTGGAGGCCTCTTAGACTCTATGCAAACATCAGAGACATCCAAGTTGCAGCAGCTTGTTGAGAATATTGACAAGAAGATGACTGACCCCAACCAGTGTGTTATCTGTCACCGTGTTCTGAGTTGCCAGAGTGCTCTGAAGATGCACTATCGCATCCACACTGGTGAAAGGCCTTTTAAATGTAAGATATGTGGGCGGGCATTTACAACCAAGGGAAATCTGAAAACACACTTTGGTGTCCACAGGTCCAAACCTCCACTTCGGGTTCAGCACTCTTGTCCTATATGTCAAAAGAAATTCACCAATGCAGTTGTACTACAGCAGCACATCCGTATGCACATGGGCGGGCAAATTCCCAACACACCCATCCCCGAAAGCCTGCAAGAAATGGATACTGACCCCTCCTTTGATGAGAAGAGCTTAGATGCCATGAGCAATTATGATGATGACCTTCTGGATGAAATGGAGCAGGCCATAGATGATGAAGCTGATTTAAAAGAGGGAGATATGGACTCATCCAAACCTTTTTCACCTGGGAGCTCTCCACCAACTTCTGTAATCTCCAGCATTGCTGCAATGGAGAACCAGATGAAGATGATTGACTCTACCGTCAACATGACTCGTACATTTGGTCTGAAGCCTTTGCAGAATGGCAGTAGCTTTGGAGGGGAGACTGACTGCTTTACCACTGATTCTCTGTCTGCAGTTGGGGATGCTGAGGGTCAAAGCTTGGGGAGCCCCGCTTTGTCTGAGTCCTCTGGCTCTATCCAGCATTTGTCCCCAGCCCACAGTCATTCTGAGAGCCAGCGATCCAAATCCCCTGCTGCACTCAACAATAATAACATCAGCAGTGCCATGACAGCAGAGGAGGTCCAAGACAACAATACAGCTGGCCTGGCAACAGTAAAGTCGGAAAAATCCGAGACGCCATCTCCGCTTCCTGCAACTGAAGGCACTGGGGCCCTTGACCTGACTGCCACTCAGCCAGGCAGGCACTTTATCAAAGAGGAGAGCCACTTCAACGTGCTGTTTCTAAACAGAGATCGAGGTGTGTATGTGCAAAAACACAAATCTAAAGTGAATTCATTATCTGGGCACATTTGGGAGTTCATAATAATGAATTAATAACAACATCTCAATAGCATAATAATTTAAAGATGAAAAATTGTTGACAGTAAGAGAATGAAAAAATAGAAAAGAGTTGTTTATGAATAATAAGGACCTTGACCAAATAACTATAAGATTTCAGCAGGGACTTTTTAGATTTTCAAGTCAAATTCTGACTGTTCAAAAGCTTTTGGTGTTTTACTAATAGAATATAAATCGAATTGTTCTGTTTTTTTACTTTTGTTTGTTCAGGGCTGAGCACTCCCAATTTGGCCAGCACTGCATCAAACATGATTAAAATGGAAATGAACGGCCATGGGAAGTCAATGTCTCTGAGCGACAACCCTCACCTGCCCGTGGGCATTCAGGTTCCAGCTGCAGCGCCCCCAACCACCATGAGCCCTAGCATCAACCCCATGTTGGCTCCCCCGCCTCCACGACGCACTCCTAAGCAGCACAACTGCCAGTCGTGTGGGAAAAATTTTTCCTCAGCCAGTGCTCTGCAAATCCATGAGCGTACACACACTGGGGAGAAACCTTTCGCCTGCTCTATTTGTGGAAGGGCTTTCACCACAAAGGGCAATCTCAAGGTATGACCCAGCTTAAAGTACATTGCATCAGTTGAGTTTTACATAGGTTCAAAGCTCTGTAATATTTACAGATTTTGCCAACAAACAGTTTTTTGCTCTTGAAAAGTACTACATTAATACATTTTATTTGCTTAAAATTATGTATCAATTAAAAAAAAGAAAAAAGAAGCACAAAACAGAGAGCCTTCCAAAAATGTGGCCTTATATGTTTTTACATTTAGTTTTCCTTTCCAGCACATCCCACACAATTTCTATTTCAAGTATTTTCCATTTACAATTACAGAGTCATTATTTTTTTCATTTGTTTGTCATTTTGTCGATAATTTTAGGTTCACATGGGAACGCACATGTGGAACAATGCCCCAGCCCGAAGGGGTCGACGACTGTCTGTGGAGAATCCCATGGCCCTGCTGGGTGGGGACGCCATGAAGTTCAGCGAGATGTTTCAGAAAGATCTTGCTGCTCGGGCCATGAACGTTGACCCGGGCTTTTGGAACCAGTACGCAGCCGCCATCACCAATGGCCTGGCCATGAAGAACAATGAAATCTCTGTGATCCAGAATGGAGGCATCCCCCAGCTGCCCGTCAGCCTTGGTGGCGCAGGAATCACTTCATTGGGAGCAATGCCTGGAGGGATGGACCGCGTTCACACAGGCAGCAGCCCTCCCATGACGGGTATGGAAAAGACTGGTCTGGATGTCACAGCTAACCGTCCCTTCTCCAGATTTATGGAGGAGAACAAAGAAATTGGGATCAATTAAAGAGACTTTTCTGTATAATTCCAGGTAGGCAAAGACTACAAGGCTGTTTATGAGGAAAGAAACTGCTGATCCAGTCTGAACTCATGCGTACTATATTATGTACAGATTAAATATTTTTTGTTTGTTTTTGGAAACATAGTATTTAGTATTGATTAGAGGTTTTTGCCTTTCACCCATTCCCTGCTCACTTGATATTTCGCCTATACGAAGAATACTTTGTCTCTTGTTTGAGAATATGTCGTCTTGCAAGATTTGCATGGTACTTATTGGTTTTTATCAGTACGTTTGACTGCTTTTATGAATTCCTTTGAAAACCAGGATCCTGCCTCAGTTATGATTAGAAAGGATCTTATCTGGACAGGACTAAAACACAAAAAGGACAGAGTTTTAGCTCAAAGTCAGTCTGAACAATGTCTGCCAACCTCGTTTATGGTTGCTATTTTAAATATAAAGGGCCATGGATAGACTGAAGAAAAGACTGAAGTATAACGTTCTGTGTTCGCCTGATTTTTTTTTTCATGATCTAGAAAACTTGAAAAAAATAATGTTTGAACTATTTTAATCTTTACATTTAGTCTCCCAGCATTGTCTTATATTATTGTCGTGTGTCTTTAGTATTTATGATATTGACAAAAAAAAGCGGGTATACAAAAATATATTTAATGGCCCAAGCATTTTATTGATCTTTTTTTCTAAACTGCAGGCTTCACTCATGAAAATCTCTTTCAATGAAGACAATATGTCATTTGAGTTGAACAACAGAGAAAAACAGTAGGTTTTATTTGGATATCGGTTGAGACTATGATTATCTCATTACACAGTGAAGAAGCTAGAGATATCCGAAGCTGCTATGACCACAACCCTGCTTTTAACCTTTGTAAAAAAGAAAAAAAAGTGACCCTTTTGAATAAATATCTATGTATAGAAATAAAGACAAATCTGAAACAGGTATGCATATTTTGTATCACTTAAAAAAATAGACATCATGAGTTGAGAGTATTTGTCATGTTTGTGAATGCACTTTTTAAAAACAAGACGTTTTGTCTGTGAGTTACCGTTAACCTTTTGACTGAGCTATCTATCACGTGCTGTTTTCATTGTTTTCAGCATACCACTCCTACAATTGGCAGAGTCAGTTCTCTGTCATTGCATCTGTGCTACTCGTCAGAGTACAAACTCATCACTCAATCAACCTTCTTAAATAAAATAAAACGAAAACAGGTGTGTGTGTTGCAGTGGTCTCCTTATCTTTAATACGCTTTCTCCTTCTCTTTGTTTTTTTTTTTTGTTTTTTAGTCATCCTAATTATTACCATTGAAATTTGGTCTTGCAGTGTGAGCCACCATGTGAGTGTGGAAAACAGCTTTTAAATCCATTGCTATTTAAACATCTGCAAAAACAACAACTTTGCTTTTGAAATTCCACCACACATATAGCAGATATGTTAGTAAGAAATTGCTTATTATCTTATCTGCCAAAACAAACTGGTGATTTTTGGATGAGCCTAAAATGATTTTCAGCAAAGATATGTTTCCTCTTTTGGGTCATAAAAAATGGGTGGAAACAAGGAATCATTTCCAGATGCTTTATAATGGTCTGGGAAGCGTTTTCTTCAAAGAGGCTCTTCAAGAAAAAAATTCATTCATTAATATTTTGTTTATGTTTTTACTTAGCAATGAGCTTTTCAATTTACAAGAAAAAATATTACTGAATTGTCTGCATATTTTTACTTATTTTACTTATGTGTGTGTATGTGTGTGCTCTTCTGTCCACACACACGCATGCGGCTGCTGGAGATCCACTATTCTGCACGTGCAGAAAAAGGCACATTTATAATTATTTATAAATAAAAAAAGGAAAAAAGATGCAGCAATTTGTAATAATGCACACAATTTTAAAATGATCTCATTGTCTGTAATGCAAAGAGAAGGTTGTTAAAGCTGCAATCCTTGTTTTCCTTTGTCATTTGAAGGTAAACATGCACACGTACACACACACACACACACACACGCACACACACACGCACACACGCACACACAGTTAAGCAAATGTCCTTGTATTTGTATATTTTAGATCATCTCAGTTTGAATTGTTATATCAGAACACTACAAATAATTTGTGACTGCGGGTCAAGACTTTAGCTAAGCACATGCAAAACCCATGATGAACCATAACATAATAACATAACAGAAATAAACAAACCATAACTGTTGTGTAATTTAAATGAAAGAATCACGTGTTAATGTGTAAAACAATGTTCACTTTATACCTAAAAGCCTCTTCTCTTCCTGCTGCAGTCTGCCAGGAGACAGCGCTGCATCTGAGAGGGAATCAGCGAACTTATTATGTGTGTGTGTGCGTGCGTGTGTGTTTGTGTGAGAGCCGTAAAACGATGGCAGCCTTCTTGCTGCAGGACATTTGACACATGGTCCACATGTGTGCGAACACACACACACATACGCTTCACACAGCTTCACACTCCCACATAAAAACCTGTGTTCTCACTTTCTCCAACATAAAAAAGACAAGACTGAATTACACCAAATATTCTTAGCGATGGGGGAGAAAAGAAAATATTCCTGCTGTGAACAACATTAAGCCGCATCAGGTGCAAGATGAAAGTTAAGGCTAACTTTAATCACTTGGAACAAAAGACTTTTTTCTTAATGCTTATCTTTGGCAACTTGGCTGGCAGATGTGACTATAACCTTGATCTTGAATTCCTCCCTATATAAAGTAAGATAACCATAGCTTTAAAGGCACTCTCATATCGGTTTGGAGAGCTGGACAATAAATCATTCTCTAAGGGAAAAAAACAAAACAAAAAACAAATGAAGTCACTCAAAATCAGCAAATCTAAAGATGTAACTTTACAATTTGCTGTGTGGACACATTCATTTAGACTAAAAGGCTACATGAAAAGTTTCTACCAAATGAGCAGCAAATACATTTAAGTTACAACCATAGATCTCATAGATATAATTATTATGCCTGGAAACTCAAAACAGTTAATATTTAATAATAGATATGCAGAGAAATGTATTATTTTGGTTCTTTAGCGAAATCAGTAAGGGAGCCAACACGTTATCCAATGCATCTAAGTGACAACTCATCTGGTGAGCTTTCACCGCTGAGCCATAGATGTTTATTTTTCTGTTATTTTTTCCTCCTTGACTTTTACACGCATATTACTTTTCACGTTGACGGACGTGAGCCGAGGCTGACCTCGGGGGCTCTCTCTCTTCGTTTCAGTAATGCGTACTGCCGTTTGCGAGCCCATTGTTTGACATTTCACTGTCAGCTGATCGCACAGGCTTAGTCAGTGGAATTGTGGAGTAATGAAGAAATTTCATACTGACTGTTTCCCTCTGTGAACGCGCCCATTTCGCCCATATTTGAAGGAAAACGAATGACATTCCGCTCGTGCCTGCAATCATGCGCTCGCGTTTTGCAAAGAACCAGAATAGATGCATGTAAAGACGCTTGTTTCAGGCCCTGAACGGGGATTCTTCTTCTCAAGTGTATAGCTCAACAGGCTGCTGCTGCTCACAGTGATGCGCTGTAAAGGAGGGCAGTTAGAGGGTTATATGAGGTTATAAATTACCACACTGTAGGGTTGCTTTCCCACCCCCTCTGAGAATTAGATATTTTGTTGCAGTTCTGTCCTTTTTTTTTTCCATTAAGCAATACAATACAATGGAATGCTCAACATGTGAAGTGCAATTTTATTTTACTGTTAAAAAGAGAACATTTATGAGAAACCAGGGGAATGCAGACAAGGCATTATTTGAGGTGTGTCCATTTAAGAGATTTTTAACAAGTATAATCTTAGAGCGGGTTACAAGGCTAATTATCTAAGTAAACATGACTTGCCTTTCTGTTTCTTTAGTTTGTTTTCTTTTTGTGAAATGTGGCACTTTCCCCTCTTTGTTCAGCACACAGAGCAAATTGCCTGCCCCCTTTTGTTTCATCTACACTTGACTCATGTTTGTGTGCTACCTGTTTGAAGTGAAAATGTGTGACATTTGGGCATGGCACAGTGTGAACAGACAGGCCATCATTGGGACGGGGCTGTCGGCTGTTTGTTTAATGCCCTGCCTACTGTGAAAGTCTCCCTGAAACAGGCGCAGTAAATATCCCCATTGATCCAGAGGCAGGGGGCCCTACGATGATGTAGTGGCGAAGAGCCACAGGAGTAAATCTAGCCGACAGTAATCCAATCCCATTCTCAAGGCTCTGGGATCTGAGATAGGTGCTTTAAATCCAAAAGTGTGCCTTTTTGCACAATTTCTCTGCCTGTGTTGATGCTGTGTCTTTTGTGGTGTTTTTTTAAAACTTCCATATCTCAGCTCGAGAGTCGGTCGGTGGCCTGCTGAGGTGCTTCATCTCCTATCCTTTATATTTGCTTAAATTCCAAGTCCTATAATGATGCCACAAATTTAGCTTTGTGCTCATTTCAGTGTCAAATTCACGCCCACACTTCTCCTGTTTTTGCTCGTCTAAAGCATGTGCATCCACCTGAAGTAAAAACTCCAAAGTTAAGAGAGTGTGAAAGCTGTGTGTGTGTGTGTGTGCGCGCCTGTGTGAGTGTGTGTGTGTGTGATAGCACACCTCAGGTAATCAGTGTTTTCTGTGGATGGCAGAGGGACACACTGGAAACTCAGAAACCCCCATTAGGCTGGAATTTCCCTGTGATGGCCAAAAGCTGCCTACCTAGCGCTTGACTGGTTGCTTGGCTGCTCCAGCAAGTGTTAGTTTTCATGCAGGCTCTCAAGATGACAAAGTTACGCAGCCCAGATCCCCTGGAATAGGACTGTGTGGTTACCTCAAATTCTTTCCTGTATGGATTGTTAAGAGCTGATGAAGCATGGTGCACTTTAGCCTGGTGGGCATTAACAGTTTGCTGCAATGAAGAATTGGCTATTTCACCAACATAGATGCTTGTAGTCCTAAATTAACATCAGAATTATTTTTAATGCACTCTACTGACTGTAGTCAGTGGTTATTATACCCTCCATTTAGCACCACCTACCACAGAGTGCAACAGAAAGTTTCAGAAAAGTGAGAAACATCACAATTAATTTCAGTTTTAAAAAATGACTTTTAATGGGAATTATTGCACTAATAGGCTCGACATTCACGGTCAAGTGTGTTAACAAAAAAAAACAAACAAAAAAAAAAACGGTTTTGTGGATTTTTGTGTGGGTGTAATTTTGCAAAACGCCTCCAGAGTGGGCAAACTCGCCTTCACTTTTACATATCCATTTCTTAAAAACTACGTGAGCGGTGAAATGCAGGCTAAAGGATATCCCCCTTGTAATGCTACTGAGGGCTAGCCAAGGTGCGATTATAGTGTGCAGTAAGGTGCCTACAGAAAACAAGGAAAAGAAGTACGAGGAACGGTGGGGGTGTTTTTTGGAAAATCAATGAGTGCGTGGAACATAGTGGTGGTGCACCTGAAAGTGAACACGTCATCAATTAAACAAACTTGGTGAACAGGGTCAATTCATCAGAGAGCGGTGTGGATCAGCTATTGGGTTCAGCTTCGACGTGACAAATGCCGGACCTCCTCTGTGTGCCCAAGGTTGCCGATCGATAGAGATCATCATCGTGATGTGGCCTTTTATCTCACAACCCGCTCCCTCAAGCCTTATATTATTCCCAACACAGAGATCTCAAAGGAGGAGGAGGGGTGAGAAGGGCACGGGCCTGATTGTATCTTTTATTCTCAGAACGCATAAGCATTATTTGTTCAAACGATTTTCATGGCTTTTGATGACCAGCTTTGTCCTCCAGCAGGAAAGTTTTGATGGTTTTTGTTTTTGTACCTGCTGCCGCAGTTTGCCTCATCTGGGGATTATTCCTTGGAAGATGAAGATCACTCTGGTTAACATGACACTGTTTGCTGAGCGATTGAATCCTCTCAATACAAGCCTGCGCCCCCTCAGCGGCACTTATTCAAATGTGTCAAATCCGGCTGAGGGGAAAGCCTCCAGGGTTCCTATTGATTTGTGCCATTATGGAATTCCATGCCAATAAACTGTCATGACTTACTGTAACAATCCAATGATTCGGCTCCATTTCAGTCACATGACAAAGAAGAGCTTCCTCATTATCAGAGGCCATTATGAGAAAATGGAGTTTTGCAATTGAGTTATGCAATGATAAATATTGACTTATTTCGGTTTTAATCGGCTGGTTTAACTGTGTGATTGGTGTATGGGGCCTGTAG